TATATTCAGACTTGATAATGGGTTGTGTAAGCTCAAAATGTTAATTTTATCACAGCTGTTTATTTTTGTTTTAACTCTATTCAAAACACAGGAAAAATAATTGTTTCTAAATGTAAATAAATGAAAAGGCCAAAAAAAGACAACAAAAAAACACGTTTTCAAGCTTCAAAGAAAATTCTCTTTTAATGTATTGTTTAGCAATTTCATTTTTATTCTTTGTTCTGTACTGCTACTCTTTATTTCATGGTATTGGCAAAATCCTCAAATGTAACTGTGGCAGAATGTTTCCGCCCTGCCTCCCCGATGCCCTCTAAGCTTTACTAGACCGAGTGGTATAAAGGTCAGCTGTTCAGAGGCAAACACCTGAGACAGCTAAGAGATTTTCCTAATTTGGTCTGGCATCCAGAGAGAAATGCTGTCAGCTGTGTTTAATGGGATAAAGGGGAGAACTGTGTAAATGGAGCTTGTTTCTCACCCCCATTGACTTTTAAGGAAGATAGGAAGAGAGGGGAGAAGTATATTCTTCCCCTCTAGCAGAGATTGGCAGCATGGGATTGTGGAACTCTTGGCTGGTGAATTTTCATGGGATGGATGGTTCCATGGTGACAGCCAGATGATTATCTTGTCAAGAAGTGAAGCAGGAAGGGTCCTTCCTTCCTTCCGACTGGCAAGCAGGAGAGAGCAGGCACACAGCGCACACACACACACACACACACACACACACACACAGCCCACCATGATTTTTTTTTTTTTGTGTGTGTGTGCACCCAGCACTCATCTCTGGCCTTGTTTTCTATGAATATCCTGTGTTTCCCTGATGCTAGTTTCATGCTGCCTCTCAGTAGTATTAAAAAAAAGGAAAAGCAGTTTATATGAAACTTTGATTTAAAATATTGGTTCAGAACAATGTTATGATTATAAATGCACATTTTGAAAAACAAACACATGCTTTATAACCAGAGCAAAATAGTAATTAAAAAAGCTTCTGCTGCAGTATACAGAACATACAAATTGCAAATTTAGTCTATCCTCTGTATTACTCATTCATTTATTTATTATCATCAGATATATTCCTTCAGGAGATGTAATTTTGTAATCCAAACATTGTCATTTCCTTTCAGCATGTTCATTTTCCTTAGCACAATGATTCTTGCTATGTGACAAGCAGCCCCAAATTCTTTATGCCTTAGCAAGAAATCATGCAGAGTAAAGGGGAGTGGTTTCCTGCACCACGGAGCAGCATGCATTAGACGTGCAGTGTGAGCACAACTCTGAATTCTCTTTAGCATGAATTTTGGGCCATCAATATTGAAGCTGGTGGCTTTTTTTCCATTCCCTATAAACGGTCACAGAGTATTCTCACAATTTCATTTTAGACTGGTTTTACTGTGCTTCTGCCTGCTGCCGTCTTGATTTCTGAATTATATTCATCCCCCTTGTTCTGAGTGGCTGCAGGAACACATTGCTTACACTACATGAAGGGACCTGTAACAACCACAATCAAACAGAATTTCTTCCTGACAGCCATAAAAAATGGTCTATTATGAGCATGATAAAACATTTTCTGCGGGTGGGTTCTTGAATCTTTGGAAGGATTTTTTATGCATTTCTTCCTCTCCACCACTGTTTTTTTCCCTTTCTCCATCTGCACATTTGTTTTCGAGGCAACATTTCTCAGTATGCTAATTCTTATTCAGGAAAATTGTGCCTCACGAAATTTTAGCACTGTTGTTTCCTCAAATGTTACTTTACATTGTAGCATCTGTGTATTAGTTATATTTTCTCTTAGGAAGCAAATACTGTAAGCAAGTTAAGAGACATTGGAGAGAAATGGAAAAGGTTAAACCTCTCCTTAAATTTGCTAAAATTCATGATTTTTTAAAACTGCGTGCATTAACTTTGTTCATATGATGAGATATTTCAATAGTATTCATATTACAAATAGGTAATGAATCATGTATTGCTTTCTTTGAACTCTGACCAACAGTTACTCAAGGACTAGAAAATATTTTTAAAAGGAAAAAAAATGTGTAAACTGGTGGAAGAGTAGAAAGCACAGAAGAAAAATTACTCACTGGTAATTCTGTTTGTAGCAATCCTGTCTTCTTCTATCACACTAAACAGCAGCTATTACTGACAGCATTATTGCTCCACCTATCAAGGCAAAATATCTGTCCATCAAGGCATTAAATACGTGCCAATCTGTCCACTTCCTTCAGTTACAGCACTTCCAGAGGAAAAGAAAGGAAAAGAGAGAGAGGGAGAAATTAAGATGGTAAAAATAAAAATTCCAAGCAGTATTCTCTGAGGAGGCACAGGAGGAACGTAGGATGGGAGAAGAGAGAACGGCGATATACAAAATTACTGGTGAGTAATTTTCCTTTGTCATATATCCCTCTTCAACCATCCTACCCAGCAGCAGCAATTTCCCCAGCATGCTAGAGTTGGGCTTACTGTATAGTGGAGCTGGCCATACCTAATGGCCAACAAGTGATGTCAGCAGATGAGGAGAGGTCCAAAGATAATGCTGAACATAAATGCAAGGAGATGATCTTACAAATTTCAGTGGCAGTGTCTCAGTCCTTGGTGCTCAAAAAGTGCTGCTGCACCCTAACTGAATGGCATTTAAAAATTTTAGGACATGGTAATTTAGCCTGGTCATAGGCTAACAGAAAACAATTTTTAATCCACTATATTCATGTCCCCCTTTTATTATGACTTTCAAAACAAAATGAGCAACTCTTGATTTTCATAAAACCTTGAATACAATGGAGAGGTAAAAACTTCTGAGCTTGCCTGAAGGCCTGGGAGTGAAGTTTCCTCTGCTGTGAAAGTGGGCAATCAAGACACGTTTTAGGAAGAATAGTGAGTTCCTTAATATATACGTGTGAATTTACTTTTGAAATTAACTCATGGAGAAGTCAAAGAACTGTCCTATTTTCAAGTAAGATTTCAGGAACAGGAGAGAAATAATAATAAAACTCAAATCCTTCATTCTGTGGGCTATCATGACTACAATTAAATAGGCTTTCTTAAATAAAAATATCTTTGTGGAGATGTCCAAAGGGTTTGAAAATGGAGGAATGAGCACCTGAAGAATCAAAAGAACACTTTGGCTAAAACCAAAAGCCATTGGGTAGGATATGAGAGGAGGAAGGTTTAGCACAGCCTCAGTACGGCGGCTCTGGAAGAGAGAAAGTAAAAGTCAGTATAGAGAAGGAGTCTTGTCTGCAAGATGAGCTGTTTAGAGAAATAGGAGGAGGAGTGATGAAATACCCCCTTTGGGCACCGAATCACAAGAGGGCATCTCTGAAAGCACTTGGGAGACCAGATTCTTGCCTTGTATCAACCTGCCTAAAGAGGCTTATCTGTAGGAACCTCTTTTCAGCTTTCTAGCTTCAAATCCACAAATGGATAGCCACAGAGGCCATGGATCTGCCTGTAAGTCTAGCATTGTCAAAAGCAGCATCACAGAGATAGGAAGTTGCATGGGAAGAATCTGAAAGAATACAGAAGACCTCACAACTAAGTACCAGAGAAGGGGCCACCAAGGAAGAAGGCAGAGGAACCACAGACCAAGTGGATTGCACCAGCTGGGTTGAGAGCATTTTTGAAACATGAATGGGAAAGAGGAGCCACAAAAAGAAATGAATGCCTGCAAACGGACAGCCCATGAAGCCACTGCTGAGGAGACAGCACCCTCTTTTGGGAGCTGAACACCAGCAGCTGCACTGATCCAGGAAGAAGGGGGAATGGTAAAAGCTCCAGTCACTAAAAAACCAACTGTGGTGGATGAGAGGCAGCAGAGCAGGGGACTACTGCTCCGGCAGACTCAGAGTGTAAGAGGGAGTGTCCACTGACAAAGGAAGTACCTGGTCCAGAGTCTCTGGGAGGCGGGAGAGCAGCAACCCACAGCTATGTGGACGGGCAGAGTAAGGGTGGGGAAGGATGAAGACCAGGGAGCATTGTCCTGTGCAGACAGCTGCATTGGAGGGAAGCACATGCCAAGATAAACATGAGACCTCTGCGTAGGGCAGAAGTACTGACCACTTGTTTCCCTAGAGTCAGAGAGTGACAGTGGACAAGCCCAGGGGGTTGTCGTGGTGATACTTGATCTCTGGTTGCTAGAGTTCTGCATGAGAGAGCAGTTTGTGAGAAGCCGGGGATTTCTGTCTTCCTTTCCTCCTCTCTTCTCTGCCTATCTGTGTCTTTGACTTTCATCTTCGTATTTTCTGCCTTATTCTGAGAGCTAGAGTTGCAGTGGGAGGAGAAAAAGAAAGGAGGAATATTAGGAAAGCATGTGGAATGAAACATGCACACCATGCTTCCAGGATAGAGGAGCAAAAATCCTGAACATTAAGTGAGCAGACTGGTGCTTAGAAACTGGCCTAGACTAACAGATCTTTTACCTTCTTCCTTAACGGTACAGTATATAAAGCCATAATGCTGCCAGGAATTGCTATCATGGACAGGAAGACGGGTGCACAATCAAATGTAATTTATTTCATTTTTAAAGAACGGAGGGTTTTCTCTTTAAAATTCCTTTACACTTTTTTCTTTAAAGAAAAATATATTTTATATGTTCAACAATCGTTGCATGCAAGTTTCTTATAAGTAAAAGCAACAACACACTTCAGAGAGTATGGTTACACTCCAGAAACCTACATGTCTCACATGGCTGAAATCATCAGACCAAAGGCTTTGCATCCCACTCCACACCCATGGCCTAAAAAGAACACAACTGACAGCTTGTTGCGTGCTCACATACATTGTATAGATATATACACACATACATGCACAGAGAGAATGAGAACACTTTCTCATTACACTACAATCATGGCATTTGTCAGCAGCAAATAAGAGTTAGCTCACAGACACATCTACAGTGCAGCCATAAGTGAGTAATGGTGACACACTTTACAAGTGTAGATGAATCAAACATATATTGAGGAGTAAGACTTCATCTTTAAAATTGCCTCTTGAATTTTAAATACACTCACTGTTATAGCGTCTGTAGCTGTCAATCTTTGCTTGTGCCACTCTGTATAGAACTGTCCCATGAAAGGCAGACTTTCCTGACAGCAAATGAAAGAAAAGAAGGAAAGAGGAAACAGAAGAGGGGAAGGAGAGATCGAATGATGGTAAAAAGAAGGTAGAGGAAGAGTTTTTAATCTGTACTTTCAATTACTAACATTTTAAGAGTTCTATTAGCAAAATGAGACCATTAGCTGCACTGACTGTACATGAAGTTAAAAATATTCTCACTGCATGTATGCCAGATAGGGAAATCTCTCTTGATTTTGCTAAAGCTACCTTGGTTGAGTTATATAATGTATTGTTTCCCATAATCTCTGATGGCCAAATGAGAGAAAATTTGGCCCATAAAGTTTTATTTTACATGTGTGAATGAACAGAAAAAATGTGGGTCTCCTTTTTTGTCTCTATCTGAGATTTAAAGACAGCCTGAAAAGACTTTGCAAACATTTTTTTCTTGTTTGTTTTTTGCCCTAAGCCCTGTCTATAGTAGGGAAATTCTATCAATATCACTGCATTGATGTACTTACTTATGCCAGTCCATGCCCCTGATTTAGACATACTTCACTGGCAGGTCACTGAAATACCATTAGAAATATCAAAAACAACATGTTTTGCTGAGGGACTTATTGAAGGTTTCAGATATTGATTATGAACTTTAACAGTTCTTAACTGAAGGGATGACATGTTGACTCTTAAAGACATTTTTTTAACCCAGTGGTTTATTGAGCTAAATAGATATTAACAAAAAAACAAACAAAACCTGAAGAGCTTTAAACAGTCTGAACAAAGACTGCTTCCCATTTCAGTTGATTAAGGCTATGCCTTTACTGCCAAAAAAAAAAAAAAAAAAAAAAAGTAGGGTTTTGTTTGTTTGTTTGTTTACAGTGAGACAGCTAACATGTTAGCGAATACAGATTTCATTGCATATCATTCTGTCATAGTCCTACCAGTTCTCCAGTAGTCCAAAACATCTTCTAGGGAAAAAAACAGTTAGAACTGTATATATACTATAATAAACAGACAGAAAAAAGTATACCAATGAAAACATCCATCGCCATCTGTCTACATAAGCAAGCAACAACAAAAAAGGCACAAAGCCCTTCCTCCCCTTCCCAGATCATCTTTAAGTGAAATCTATTATAACATTCACTCTGATGTTAAGAAAGCAGAGAAGGAAATGTTTGGCTACATGACAGTGAAGAGACAGCTGAAATTTAAAGGAGTTAAGATGTATTACATTGCCTAACTAAATCATTAGCTGCAAAGTCTAACATCAATCTTAGTACTGGCACTCATGATTTCTTAGCGACCATGGCTAATATGTTTTTAAATATCCAATATATTAAATTAGACCTAGTCATGTCTTAACTTACACACACACAAAAGAGATAGCAAGATATATCCAGTAGTCTTTAAATGCTGTGATATTGCCACAGGCATATTAAAATGACTGTGAAATCACCCCCTTCAGATATGACTTTCATTCATTAGGTTATAATATTCAGTTTCATTACACATGACAATTTTCCTGATTTTTTGTTAAGCTGTAATGAGAAGCTGTGGTATTTCAGAATATCCTAAAACCAAATAAACGAATGTTAAGACATCTGAGAAATCTAGCATACACAATTTGTGGATGTTATCTACTACCAACAGACAACAACACTTTGAAATCAATAGGACTCCTGGAAAAATAAAGAGTTACTCAATGTGAGCATGGGTATGAAAATCAAGCCTTAATGAAGTGCTGCTGCCGGCAGAGCAAAAAAAAAGCCGAGTGCTGCTGCTAGCAGAGCGAAATATCGGGACAAATTGCGTCCCGACCAGAGATCGGTTGGGACGCAGGACAAACACCGAAAAATCAGGACGTCTGGTCACCTTATCTGTAATGCATCTTTGAGGAGGGGGGATATTACAGTCATTTTATAGATGGGCCAAACATTTTTTAAATGATCTCTGATCTTGCGAGGCCCTTACTTTCCAAAATGTCAAGGCACCCAGAACTCATTGGGAATTACAGTTTCTCAGCCCCTCTGAAAAACTGGGCCCAACTGAATTCCAAATAGAGTATCCAAGAAAAGGATTCTGGATTCCTCAATCCAAGTCACTTCTCTAAACTACTACAAAACATTTGCTTGTCCTAAAAAAGGAACACCGCATAAATAAAAAGAGATGGCCCCAAATTCCCATAATTTATATTTTATTTTCTTACATAGAGGAGAGGGGGTGGTATTCCATCAGAACCTCTCTTGGAGCACCAAGGACATACCTTATTCCCTCTGCACTTTCTCCACTCTGAGAGCCTTGAGCACTGCCCCTGTCTGTCTGACCTGTGGTACTGGACAATGCTCTCTCCAGAGACAGTAAATAAGACTTATTAAAAACCAAATCATGATAATATTTTGCATTTCTACAGTCCATTTCACCTGAGGATCCCAAACTGCTTTACAAACCTTGATTAAGCAAACTGAATAGAAGACCTATAAAAGTGAATAAGTATTATTGTACCCATTTTTCAGGTGGGGAAGCAGAGTTAAGTCACTGCCCCAGATTACATTATAACTCCCCAATTCTGCAACTGGATCTTCATGGGCAGATCTGAGTCTGTGCAGATCCCCATTGACCTCCAAGGCCACACAGACTTGATTGCATGATTGGGGTACAAGTCTGTCATCCAGAGTAAACATCTAAGATCTGACTCTGAGTGTCCTGTGTTATAATCACTAGATATAGTCCATCTCAATCAGTGCTACTCCTGGGCCATGTCTGCACTGCACCACAGAGTGGATGACAGTGGTCTGAATGGCAGCGCACACCATAGTGTTGCGCTATAACTGTGCTGTGTGGATGCTGCTGGAATGAACTATAAAGTACCTAGTTAGCATTAACACAGTCCTCTTTCAAATAGAACTGCATTCATGCGAACTAGATACATTTTAGTTCGTGCCAGTAGTGTCCACACATGGTGCAGTGTAGTCAAGCTGCTACAAAGCCTAGAGATGTTGTAGTCCTACATGATCCTACCATCCCTCAAGAAACTGCAGCACGAACATCCCTTGTCTTCCTCCGAGCAAGGAGCTGAATTGGAGGCCTGAAATTAGATCCCTAAGTTAAATCACATACTGTCTCCTGATGTATTTATATTTGCTTGATCTACAACTCTTCCTTCTGAAAAAATAGTAAATATGGATATTTTAAGTGGCATTTTCCCACTGATGCGTGTGCCTAATGCCTATCTAATGTATAGATTTTTAATATACATATTGAGGTAACTGATAAAGCCTTATAAATGGCCATGCATTGATGAGGTAACAGCTGTAACCATTACAAGAACTCAGTCACTCCTTAGCTCCCTTGGAGGAATGTGTATGCATAACTTCCATGTTGTTCCAATCCTGGACTCATTAAAATGGAGAACAAATCTCCCAGTGACTTCAATGGTACAGGATCCGGCCCCTAAAGGGATAATGTTAACTTGGAAATTGTCAATTTCTAAAAAATAATTACAGGGACTACAGCTGCGCCCTGTATTCCCTTTGCCTCTATTTGTGGTTTCATAATATTTTTCCATTTTAAAACTATTTTGCTGCTGTCTGAAACACCCACATAAACAACAGTGAAACTGGCTAGCTACTAAGCATATTCAAATATTCAATTTACACAAAATGAAAAAAACAACATTCTCTCACCCTCTTTCAGATAAAGTAATCTTAGGTATTACTTAGGAGAGAAGGTACAAGTGATTTCAGACAGATGTAATTTTTATGTTGATGATGTCCCTTTAACATGAATTTTGTAATTGGTAGGGTTTTATCAAGTGAAGAGGCCCAAGGGAACAATCTGATTACTTAACTAAATTGGCTACCTCTGTCATTATGGACAGAACTGAAAGGATATAAATAATTTACACTTACTTTCCTTTGTCAAATCTGTTTAAAGCCATTTCTGGGACACTTATCATAACAAGTGAGCACTTAAGACTTAAAATGAAACATTAGTAAAGAAAAGGAATGTTTTTCCTCTCGTACAGGAAAAGGGGGGCCCATCCTGTAAATCTACCTACCCATCAGTGTAGAATCTAGAAGATAAAATACAGATTCCAAATTGAAGCGTCTATGAATTAACTTGTGAAATATTATCGACAAATTGGGATTAATTCTATCAAACTTCATTGCATTTATACTGAAAACATTATAATTACAAGTAGTAATTTTAAAGTGTAATCTGCCTACATATTGGAACATGCAACTTCAATATTACTCCTGGATATTAATTTCCCCCCTGCACCTCTCTTTAAATTGCTGAATATTTTTAAAGCAGTTTAATTTGAGATGAAGCAGCATTCTCTACGAAGATCATACCAACCCCAAGCATATAGAGTAGGTCACTAATACCTGTCCTTATAAGAAATTAGAAAAACCCTCTTCCAAACACCACACTAGTTTTTTTTTTTTAAACAACCTTATTTCTGTGGCATAGAATAAAGACAACAAATCTTTTCTAAGTAAAAAAACAAACAAATGTTGCGTTAAGACATTTTCAATTAAAAAAAATTCAGAACTACTGGATTTTCACCTCTCATCCATAAGTGTATTATAAAGATTTTGTTCACGTTTGGCAAGTTTAAAAGTTTGGCATAGTCCCACAAAAGCATCACACTTCATCCAGTTGTGCCTAACTCCTGTACAGGTCTCAAAAGAACACCGCATGACCAAGTATTAAAAATGCTGCAAACAACATATGGCCTGGCAGGGAGCAACTTATCAGGTAAATGTGCACTTATGCTAAAATATGCAAATAATGTTGGAATATTTTTAAAATACAGGATCTAGTGACCACAGAATTTGGAGATAGCACCAAGAATCTTTACTTGAAGAAACTGAAACGCAGCAAGACAGAGGAGTATCCATTTCATACAGGAGCAGATTTATGACTCAGGTTATTCTTCTCCTTACATCAAGGAAAAAGTTACAAATTGGGAGAATCCACTACCAAGCTGACACTACTGCAAACTTAGTTACCAAACATGCTTTTCACCTGCAGCAGTATTGAAAATCCAGGTGAGCGGATGGCGCAGTGGGAGAACCAAATCTGAGTCCCAGTTCTGGCCTTTTGCTCCTTTGGCTAGCAGGGATTGGGAATGATGGATGTGGAAGTAGCATGCTCAGCACCTGGAGGGAGAAAGTGCCGCATGTCCCACACCAATAATTATGAATCCTTAAATACCCAGGGGGACTCATTGAATAAGGCCTGGCACTCCTAGCCCCCTGCTAAAATAAATAAGTAAAACCATTGTATAGGCGTTTTGGTAATTTTGTTCAGCTACTGCATGTAAGGACAAAATGGTAGTGTATTTTCATTATGAAATAGAAGCCCTAAAGTTATAAATTGGCATCATTTCCTGGGCCCTTCACGGTTGTAGCTGGATTGGTCTTTAATGCAAAGTGCTATAATTAAGGGGAAGGTGCTAATACCCTTATAGTATCAACAGCCAACCAACCTTTTCCTGACACCAGCTTTAGAACAAGGCATTCTGAAACTCTTCCAAGCAAGAGATAAGACGATCCCAGCATACCAGCAAGTCAATAAACAAGAAGAGGAAAAACAGATTGACTTGATAACACTTTGTTCCTTACTTGGCTTTATTAGTTGTTCCTCCCGTGCAATTTCCACATCATCAGAATCAACAGAAAGTTCCTTTATGAAGTTGGAAGGAAACATGCCAGTCTTTCCATGCAGAATTCCTTCCCACCAGCCCTCCTCCACCTGCACCAAGACACAAACAGAACAAAAAGGGGTGTTAATATATACAGCACTTCTTTTATTAAAATGTTTTAAAATACACATTGTATGAAGAACAAATGTGAAAACACCACTGATTTTGAGCTGTTTGTACACATTTTTACAAGTATGGGATGCACTTTGCATGTGGTATCCATCTTTTTATATGCACGAGATGGATGTATATTATCTGTGCGTGTCCGCAGTTTTTTTATTTGTTCAATCGTGGGAGTGGACAAGCCATTAAATAAAATGACTGTGCAATACTTCACAATTACAGCACGCCAAGTACACTTCACATTTGTAAGAATTCGTTCAACCACCAAAGAAATGCAGCCGTTGAAATACGACAGCTCATTAACTGTGTGCAGTAACACCACACCCCCGTTCAGAATAGGATGTGAAAAAGAACACTAACTGAGAAATTCCGTATCTTTACAAACAACTTCTTTAGGTTTCCACTGCATGACATGACACCACGTATTATGTAAATGTTAAGGAAACTGCAAAGACGGAGAGAATATGGAGAACAGTACTAATGTGTGTTAGATTCCAAAAGAGTCAACAGGACCTACAGAAATAAATAATAACGGGGGCAAAAGAAGCAAGCAACTTCCTAATGTAATTCTCGTAGAAAATAAATACATCACCTAAAAAAGATTCATTCCCTCATGTGTAACCTATCCAATATGGAATGGGAGCATCATACTAGGAAATGACAGTCCCTACATACCAAATGCCTTTAGGTTATAACATGACAGCAGGGAATGATTTATTCTCTGCATCAGATAAGCATATCTTTGACAGATTAATATCTTCCATTCATCAGACACTGCCCATCCACAAAAAAGTGACAGGAGAGGACAGCTTCAGTCTGTGAAATATCAGTCTCTAATGTGGTTTGACCCATCTCCTTTCTGCAAAAAAAAAAAAAAAATTATGAAAACCAGATTCCAACTTCTTTGCAAGTTGTAGCTGTTTATGTTTACTAATTTTTTTAGAAACAAAAAATTAAAACAGTTACAGTTATTTGCTAAGAACTCAGCTACATATCAAATATTTGTAAAAGTCTCAAGTTCTTACATTTATTATTTATTTATTTATCTATCATTTATTAAGAACATATCCAGGATGCCAGCAACAACTTATGGCAAATTTCTCAACCTATAGATGAAGTAGCTGAATCTTAAAACCCAGACATATACTGTGATTTATTTTTGTGTGTGTACTTCCTTTTGATATATTACTATAAAGTACATTTACCAAGTTATTTTTACTTTAGGGTTTTTTTTCCCTCCTGCTTCTCGTACAAATTCTTGTCCTTTTAGGCTGATTTTTTGCCTTTAATTTTGAATGAAGTGGCAAATCAATATGGCTATTTTCATTTAACAACTTCAGTACTTTACCATGCCAAAAAACCTTGTTCATGCATCAGTAATATCAATGAGATCAAGCACATCTCTAGGAATAATGGCTGCTAGCTAACTGCTGCCTTAAAGAGAAGAAGAAACAAGACATTCTGGGTGTATCAGTGGCCCCACTGAAAGTCAATGGCAAAACTCCTATTGCCTTCAGTGGGGCTAGGATTTCAGCCAGTGTTTTCATATGTCCTAGAAAAATAATACTTGTTTGTTTTTGTCTTCTCTGGTCAAACTAAAAAGGCTGGGAAAAACAGAGAAAAATAAACAATAGTATTTTCAAAAGCCAGACCTTTCATATAATAATTTTCAAAGAGGAAAATTATAGGGTTAAAGTCCTTAGGTGCACCTTTTAATACTATTCATATATAATATATTTCTACTTATAATACTGTATTATTCATAGAAGACATTATTGATCAAAACTGAACCTTTATTCGTTACCCATGCTACCCTAACAGTTACTCAAGTCTGACTTACTGATGACCAAAAGATGAAGCACAATGGAATTATGCAGACCTTTAGGTCCCAATCTCGCAAGCAAATAGGATTGAGCCCTTAATGCCTTTTTTCTGTGTGCTATAAAACCAAAACCAGACCAAACAATATTATCCACTTACATCCCTCCGAAGTAATTTTTTTCTGTATTTTTCCTGTTGCATAACACTGTTTTCTAATAAATTAATATCAGTACCATGTACACACACACACACACACACACCTCATCATTATTCACACTTAAATCATCTGCAATGCTTACTGATGACTACTGCATGATATTTCCAGTGTCTGCCCAGTGAGCAAGAGACTAGAGCCAAAAGTGGAATCTTCCCAAAACACTATGCAAAGTGATGTTCACAAAGAATACTGGGGAGCACCATGTTTTAATAAATATTTTTTTCAACAACTGCATTATACAATATAGGTGTGCGTATGTGTGCGCATGCACATTTTTATCAACTTTAAACACACTAGTTAGAGATTATTTTGTACAGCAAACTACATATAAAACGGTCTCCAGGATTTAGCAGCCCAAAATGGGGACAACCCTGTGCCATATGGTTTGAAATGATGTGATAATTCTTAGTCAATAAAAGCTTACAAATGGAAATGCATTATTCATGTGAGTAGCCTATCAGAAGGTACAAGTATTCAGTAAAATCTGTTACTGTAGCTAAGTGCTTTCAGGATGTATGCACCTGGGTCCTAATTCTTGCCTAGCATTCATGCACTGTAAAAATCATCCTCTTCTTTTTTTACCTCACCCACAGAACAGAAATCAGGGTTCCTGTAGTAGAGGAAAGGTTCTTGAATTAATCCATCTCCTATTGACAATACTGTATATACTGTTTTTGGTTCAGCCTGTCTCCCCTCCCCCATTGGTTAAATCTTCTGGCAACCTTAGAATCATAGAATATCAGGGTTGGAAGGGACCTCAGGAGGTCATCTAGTCCAACCCCCTGCTCAAAGCAGAACCAATTCCCAACTAAATCATCCCAGCCAGGGCTTTGTCAAGCCTGACCTTAAAAACCTCTAAGGAAGGAGATTCCACCACCTCCCTAGGTAACCCATTCCAGTGCTTCACCATCCTCCTAGTGAAAAAGCTTTTCCTAATATCCAACCTAAACCTCCCCCACTGCAACTTGAGACCATTACTCCTTGTTCTGTCATCTGGTACCACTGAGAACAGTCTAGCTCCATCCTCTTTGGAACCCCCCGTCAGGTAGTTGAAAGCAGCTATCAAATCCCCCCTCATTCTTCTCTTCTGCAGACTAAACAACCCCAGGTCCCTCAGCCTCTCCTCATAAGTCATGTGCTCCAGCCCCCTAATCATTTTTGTTGCCCTCTGCTGGACTCTTTCCAATTTTTCCACATCCTTCTTGTAGTGTGGGGCCCAAAACTGGACACAGTACTGCAGATGAGGCCTCACCAACGTCGAATAGAGGGGAATGATCACATCCCTCGATCTGCTGGCAATGCCCCTACTTATACAGCCCAAAATGCCGTTAGCCTTCTTGGCAACAAGGACACACTGTTGACTCCAGTTTCTCGTCCACTATAACCCCAGGTCCTTTTCTGCGGAACTGCTTCCTAGCCATTTGGTCCCTAGGTCTGTAACAGTGAATAGGATTCTTCCGTCCTAAGTGCAGGACTCTGCACTTGTCCTTGTTGAACCTCATCAGGTTTCTTTTGGCCCAATCCTCTAATTTGTCTAGGTCCCTCTGTATCCTATCCCTACCTTCCAGCGTATCTACCACTCCTCCCAGTTTAGTGTTATCTGCAAACTTGCTGAGAGTGCAGTCCACGCCATCCTCCAGATCGTTAATGAAGATATTGAACAAAACCGGCCCCAGGACCAACCCTTGGGGCACTCCACTTGAAACCGGCTGCCAACTAGACATGGAACCATTGATCACTACCCGTTGAGCCCGACAATCTAGCCAGCTTTCTATCCACCTTATAGTCCATTCATCCAGCCCATACTTCTTTAACTTGCCAGCAAGAATACTGTGGGAGACCGTATCAAAAGCTTTGCTAAAGTCAAGGAATAACACATCCACTGCTTTCCCCTCATCCACAGACCCAGTTATCTCCTCATAGATGGCAATTAGGTTAGACAGGCATGACTTGCCCTTGGTGAATCCATGCTGACTGTTCCTGATCACTTTCCTCTCCTCTAAGAGCTTCACAATTGATTCCTTGAGGACCTGCTCCATGATTTTTCCAGGGACTGAGGTGAGGCTGATTGGCATGTAGTTCCCCGGATCCTCCTTCTTCCCTTGTTTAAAGATGGGCACTATATTAGCCTTTTTCCAGTCATCCAGGACCTCCCCCGATCGCCATGATTTTTCAAAGATAATGGCCAATGGCTCTGCAATCACATCCGCCAACTCCTTTAGCACCGCCGGATGCAGCGCATCCGGCCCCATGGACTTGTGCTCGTCCAGTTTTTCTAAAAGGTCCCGAACCACTTCTTTCTCCACAGAGGGCTGGTCACCTCCTCCCCATGCTGTGCTGCCCAGTGCAGCAGTCTGGGATCTGACCTTGTTTGTGAAGACAGAGGCAAAAAAAGCATTTAGTACATTAGCTTTTTCCACATCTTCTGTCACTAGGTGCCTCCCTCATTCAGTAAGGGGCCCACACTTTCCTTGACTTTCTTCTTGTTGCTAACATACCTGAAGAAACCCTTCTTGTTACTCTTAACATCTCTTGCTAGCTGCAACTCCAAGTGTGATTTGGCCTTCCTGATTTCACACCTGCATGCCTGAGCAATATTTTTATACTCCTCCCTAGTCATTTGTCCAATCTTCCATTTCTTGTAAGCTTCTTTTTTGCATTTAAGATCAGCAAGGATTTCACTGTTAAGCCAAGCTGGTCGCCTGCCATATTTACTATTCTTTCTACACATCGGGATGGTTTTTTCCTGCAACTTCAATAAGGATTCTTCAAAATACAGCCAGCTCTCCTGGACTCCTTTCCGCCTCATTGTTATTCTCCCAGGGGATCCTGCCCATCAGTTCCCTGAGGGAGTCAAAGTCTGCTTTTCTGAAGTCCAGGGTCCGTATT